TACCATTTGTGTGGAAGGTAAGAAATAGAATAGATTATAAAATAAATAATTTCAATTATTTTATCGTGGTCAGGAAAAATGTTATACTGCAGATTTGCGGGTAGTAGTACTCACTATTCATAAGTGAGTTCTGTGGTATTGCAATTTATTAGAATTTGGAGTTCTGCTTTAGAAATTAATTTGGCTTAACTTTTAATATAATATGCTTTTAGTATTAATTGTATGACTTTTTAATAATAATATTTTTATTAGTATCGTGACCAACCCATTTAGATAAAAAAACATTTATAAGATTTTCCAAATTGCATACTAATGTAACTATCAATGGGATAATAAAGATTAACAAATAATCTTTACAGCAGACATCTAATTAGAAAAATATTTAAATTTTTGTAGGTCTTACTATATGACTAAATTTTCATCAGGTAATTGTATTAATAATATTTATTTAAAATTTATAAAATTGTATTTTATTTATAGGAATTGCAGAGTACTGTTTCTTTATCCAAAGTTATGAAATGCGAATCGAAAAGCCGAGACGATCGTGATTCTTTCTTCATAAAAGCAGTGGGTGAATTGAAAACAGGTATGCTATAAAAATATTTTATTTTTTACAAGAAATTCAATTATAGTTTGAAAATAATCCACAGTTTTGTTCAAGATCTAAAACACCTTTCATAATTAATAAAAATTTTACAATTTGCAAGTTTTTTGGTTTTTTGCGAATTTTTCCTAAGACATACAGTAAATTTAAGTACATAACAAATTTTAAAAAAAAAATTGTACAAAAATAAAAATTCTTTTCAATTACTAATGTTTTTTTATTTCTTTCCTTGTAGTTTCACCTAATTATTACCAAATTGTATTACGATTATATATTTTTTTATTTTCAGGTTTATCAGAAATACATCACGTCATACTTTAGCAGTTCTTGTTACACAATCCATTTAAGACCAGGAATAGTGTTCTACAATAGACTTCCATTTGGAGTTATGATGTGTACTGGAGGCGCGAGGGAAACTCTGGTTAAACCAGGAGATTCTCTTCAATTGCCCAAATGCTACCAGACATGCTGTTTTTGTCATGAGGGTGAAGCTAATAATTTTACTTAAGAGAAAGATCAGTGGGAAAATAAAATTTTATTTTTTTATGAAATTCTACCATAAGCATTATCCATCATTTCTATAGATGAATCTTCTTGTTTATTTAATGCATGCCCTGGGAAACTTCTCAATGTAATATGACAAATCTCTTTTTTTGACAACTACTTTTTTTTAAATATTAATTATATAAAAGCAGCACATTATAAAAATCGTTAGCATATATAAAATAATTTTTTTTTCTAAGTATTTGCAATAATTTATCCAAAATATCACTAATGTTTGATTATTTATTATGTCCATTTTAGTTGGATAATATTTGGAGAAAACATGGTCCTGCCGTCACGAGTTACCAGTCAACCTAGTGAATTCCAAGTATGTTCATTTGATTCGCACGATTCTTCTCAAAAAGTGACTCTTGATTTGGGAATGCACACCAGGGAAAAAATGGATCATTATCTATGATCTTATATTGTCCATTTTGGATGCTCAACAAAACAGGATTGGAACTATCTTATAGGGTAAGTTGAAGTTTATTTTAATAGATTATTCAGATAGTCTTTAGAGAATAGGTGTCTTCAGATTATTACAAGTAGTATTTATTAACAGTGAAAATAAAATCTATGAAAATCAAAGATTAATAGGAAAAATTAGGTGTAATTAAATACTTTGTAAATCAAATTATATTTTATATTTAAATTGAATTCCTTAGTACATAATCTAGGAGATGCATAGTAAGAAAAAATAATTATAAGATTACAGATAAAAAAGTATATATAAATTTATGAATCGAAAAATATCTTTTAAATGGTCTTCCATTGCATCTCATTTGAATTAAATGATCATTTTAGTTTTTGATGAAGTAGGTAGTACATCTTGGTTCATCAGTTTTAAAATTTTACAATATTTTAATGATAAATGTTCACACCATTAATGAATTCAAATTTTATAACAAAAAGTGCTAATATTTTTCCAGAAATCACGAAAAACCGAAAGAAACGAGCTGTCTGGTTCACCTAATAAGGTACACCGACAAAATTCATACGAATGGCTCGCTTTTCGTACAGTTTTTAATACTTTTGTCATTATTGCTTGTTTTCTTTTATTAATTTTATGGCATTATTTTGGTGGCTTTATGATAATATATGGAAATATTAGTATGTTTTTAAATAAGTTCTAAAATACTTTTTATAAATATTTTAAATGCGATATTGCATATTATAAGTATATGTAGGTATATAACATATAATAAGGCATGATTAATTTATGTAAATGTGATTTTACCTGCATCTTTCATGTGTTTTTAAAATTTTTTCGTAGCTTATTCAAAAATTGATTCAAATATGCTTCAAACGTTTTATTACGGTTTTGTAATTTTTATAATATTATAATGAATTATTTAGCACTGCAGTGCATCGAATTTACTTTTCTTGTATGCCTTACATTTTTATTCAATTTATCATTTGCCTTTAAATGCATCTCATATTTATTTAGGAATTGTACTTTAACATTTTATCTTTGCATGAGAAAAAATGATGTAATTAATTCTCGCAATATTAATGAATACCACATACCATTTATTTGAGAAACTCTATTATTTTAAATTTATTATATTGTTAATTTGCTCATATTGCTGATCAAATATTTATTAAACAATTTAATTAATACCTACATGTTTAATATTATTTATTATCAATTAACATTATTAATTAATTTTGTGGAAGGGTCTTGTAACTAATAATTATCTATTAAATATTCATGTTCAATGTGATTATATTATGTGGATTATTATTATTATTTTATTACAAAATGTAACAATAAAAATTAAATTATACAAAGCAACGATATGCAAAGTGAGTTATACCTATAAATAAGTACATATATGTAATATTAAAGTCTAATTAAAAGTAAAACTGTGATTAATTTTTATAACGCGATAAAATTGCTCTTGGCATAATCTATGTCAATGTTTATATTGATGAAACGTTAAATATTATTCGCTCTTGGCATGATGTATTTGATTTCCCACTTTTATCAAATATAAATTATCAATTTGATTTATAGAATAGCGACGAATCCGCAAATGTGCTGTACCATCCTGCTGATTACACTGGACCACTTTTGTTTTCGTTCAGACCACGTAACTTCTTCGGTAAGAAAAGGCGGCAGTTCGAGTTGGTACAGGAAAATGGTCTGAAAAGTTTTCCTTGGAGGTTGCTGGATCTTCTGGTGTTGTGTCTTGTCATTCGGACGATGGACGAGTTTACCAGGTAACTTATAACACAAAATGAGCTATTGATAATTGATAATGAGCTATATTATGATTAATATCTGATTTATTTCAAATGTTTAGATTGGGGTAACAAATCAATTGACTTACAATAGTTTGACCAAGCAAGTTACATTTAGTCCGTACTACGTCTTAATTAATGAGTCCAGAATTTTGATGCAATGTCAAGAAGCTGATCGACCTGGCGATTCTTGGATACAGGTAAATATAATTACTAATATTTGTTATAATTAAATTATAATATAAAGTTTGTGTTTCTTGATTTTATCCAATTGAATATACAATACAATTGAAAAATTGCGTTCGAGTCTAATTTAAAATCTTTCCTGTGATCAGGTAAATGCAGGAGAATGCCAACCATTCTGGCCCCGATCTGAACGTGAAGATAAGCTGCTTTGGATCAGGTGCGGTACTGATCCTGAAGTAACAGCACCATTTATCTGCAACAATGTGCAAACAACTTTACTGAAGTTGAACAACAAAGTAAGATATGATTTTTGCATATAATTGAAATGATAACTATCATATATTAAATTTATTTTAATGTTTAGTATGGCGGTGTTCAAATTGAAATACAAGTGACAGAAGGCTCAGTGTACATAACCATGATGACCTACGCTCCAGGCATGGCACCAGCTTTAATAGTGAATAATACTGATGTTGAGCTCAGCTTTTGGGAGAAAGAATCGATTAATGTCAGGTAAAATACATTTTTGGCTAAACAATTTATTTTGAAGTACAATACATTTATGGAAATTAATATTTTCAGACAACTGCCAGCAAAACATCGAATGTTCTATACTTGGGAAAATCCAGCTGGTCCAAGAAAACTTCTATTTGATACTGGCAAGAAAAATGATGCTATTGAACATGAGCTCATTAAAGATGACACTGGATCATTTACGTAAATATTTGATATAGATTACTTATATATTATTACCAGTTATGCTAATTATATTTCTTTTAGGTTGCCGGACAATTCGGAAGTCTTTTTCGCGACCTTCCTATCAGGAATGCAGCGTACAGTGTTATTTTCAAGAGATCTAACAGAAACCAAAACTGGTTTAGATGCTCATGGTTTGGAAGCTAGGATGGACCAAGAAATAGAACTAGAAGCTCATGGAGTTGGTTTATCTTTAGTCGATGATTCACCTACTAAGATGAGGGAAATTTGTTATATTGGAATTGCCAGGTAAAATATATTATTTAGTTATATGCAGTTTGTATGTTTTGTAAAATGCAATGATGTTTTGATTTATAGTTCTGGTGTCATTTGGGAGGCCCGCAAATTATCATCTAAGCGGTATAAGCAGCTTTCTATAGGAGAATGTGAAAGAATTGAAGCAGCTTACCAGAAATATCAAAATGAGTTGCAAATGTATGGCTCCAGCCCAAATCCTAAAGTTTACATTGATGATAAAACTGAGGTATAAGTGATTGAAGATGGCATTACAAATAAATTCTCTTTCCAATTCTTCTACAAATTTCAAGACTGTTTATCTATAAATTCATGTTTCTACTATTTTTATTCACAGATTGATTTCAAAGAAATGATAGCCAAAGGTCCTCATTCACCACGACGATTAAGGCGCACGTATCGCGCTGGTGCCTGGTTATGCATCGGAACTTCAGCTCATTTGACACACCTTCATGCTCGTCTGCACCGGTTACAGGCTGATTGTCAACTACCAGATGCAGCGTTCCCTGTTGTATTAGCTCCTGTTGCGCCTCCTAAGAGTTTAGCCGATATTGGTAAATTTCATTTACAATTCATGATATTTTAATTAAGAATACTGCATTGCCAATTTTTGTTCCAACAACTTTTCTTGAAAATTAAGGATTTATTTTTGTTACAGTGCTGAAACCATTTGCTGAATTAAGTGTTGTGCAAAGAAACCTAGAACACAGTTCTGTAACACAATTTAAATATTGTCGTCTGTTGGTACAAGAGTTTCATGTAAAATTGGACTTAGGTTTTGTCAATGCTATTGTAGACATGTTTCAACCTGATGAAATTTCAGATAAAGAAGCTGTGAGTTTGAATAAGAATAGTAAAATAAAAATTTATATAGTTGTAATTGTCAATTACTATAAATTCTTTGAATCAATATGACTACAAAGTCAAAAATCGAAGTATTATTCTATTCATAAATAAACTTTTACGCAAATGACCTTTTCTGTCCTTTCTGATTACAGGCATCACTATTTTCCAAAGATCTTTCTCTAGTGGAACAATCCCTAAAATCCTTAGTGGCCAGCCAGTCATTACAAGAACAAAAAAGTTTTTATGATTGTCTGCATTTCTCACCATTGAAGATCCATGTAAGTTTCTCAATGTCTGGAAGTGGCAGTAATAGCAGTGGAGGTGGAGGTGGAGGATTACCTGATTTCTTAAGCGTTCTTTTGCAAGGAGTTGGAGTCACTTTGACCGATATGCATGATGTTGTATTTAGGTAAGTGATGATGAATTAAATAATAAACTCAAATTTGAATGATTGTTTAATTAATATATTTTTCTTTGTAGATTATCGTACTTTGAGAGAAATTATTGTTTCTTATCTCAAAAGCAGTTGGTTTCGGAGGCAACAAAACATTACACAGGTCAAGCTGTTAAACAGTTGTATGTGCTTGTGTTAGGTCTTGATGTAATTGGTAATCCATTTGGATTAGTAGTTGGCATCAGCAAAGGAGTAGAAGATCTGTTTTATGAACCATTCCAGGTAAATGGAATAATAATGGAAATAATTCAACAAATTTCAAACAGGTTTTTTTACTACATCTATTTTTTACTGATATTCATATTCTTGACTTTTGATATATATTTAAAAGATTTAAATACCACTGTCATAGTTTGACTAATAAATTTTGTTTATCATTTAGCATTGTTCTTTGTATTTCCTGAACTGCTGGTAAATATAATATATAATATTTATCAATTCTTTTTTATTTTAGGGAGCTATACAAGGACCAGGCGAATTTGCAGAAGGTCTGGTTCTTGGTATGAGGAGTTTATTCGGCCACACAGTTGGAGGTGCTGCAGGCGCTTTCTCTCGCATCACAGGTAGGATTATTCAAAATACCTAAATATCAAATTAAATTAAAATATTTATTGAAATTATTTATCTTCCGACGGCGTTAAATAATCATGTGTTTTAATATTTGTACAATTCCATTGGCGCAAATTATTATTTGGTGTTATTATTCTTTTTTATAACTTTTATATAATTTTCCTCTGTTTCAATTTCAAGGTGCCATGGGTAAAGGATTGGCAACTTTAACATTTGATAAAGAATTCCAACGAAAACGCATGGACCAAATAAATAAGAAACCAGCGAATTTACAAGAAGGATTAGCCAGGAGTGGCAAAGGATTAGTAATGGTATGTGTCTTTATAAACAAATTGGTACAAATGAATCATTTTTATCACATTATTTTTTATATGTTAGGGTGTTTTCGATGGTGTGACCGGAGTTGTAACACAACCATTACAAGGTGCACGTTCAGAAGGAGTTGAAGGATTCTTCCGCGGATTAGGACGTGGTGCTGCTGGTTTAGTTGCGCGGCCTACAGCTGGTATCGTTGATTTTGCTAGTGGCTCCTTTGATGCAGTCAAACGGTAAATATCTCCTGAAATATTTACTAATTTTTGAGCTTAATTTAAATATAAACCCAATGAATATTTTTCTTGTAATTATTAATTTTTTTTTAATTACCTTACAGTGCTACAGATATATCAGACGAAGTGTCCAGACTCCGTCCTCCGCGTTTGTTACCTTCCACCACTGGTGGAGGTGGATCAGTAACGGCTTACAATAGACATGAGGCTGATGGTGCTAAGTTGTTGTCTGATTTAGAAAAAGGACGTTACACCGCCACAGATCGTTATAGGTATCATTTGGAGGTCACCAGCAAGGATACTCTGCTGCTCACTGATAAAAGAGTTGTTTATGCTGTTAAGAATGAACTGTTTGGAGGATGGCAGGTTAGTAAAAGAAACATTTTTATTATTATTATTGTATCACTTATGTATGTGAGCTAACATCCGAGCTTTCATCGATGTTTTCTCAAATTTGTATACATTATTTAGGCACCATAACTTATAGTCTATGCATATCTATCAAATTGATATTAATACAAAATTAAATTATATATATATATATATATATATATATATATATATATTTATGATTTAGTAGTTAATTTTGATGTTGAAATATGTGAGTGAGTTCTTGAGGGCGATACATCAAACAAAGAAAAGCCAAAGATTTATTTCCAAACGTTTCGACATTCAATTTAATGTCATCATCAGTGGATATTATGTTGGTTGGTTACATATAGAGAAGTGTACACAGCACTAGAGATTGGCACTAACATTTATACAACTAACTTGTCAACACTATGCATTTTTTATAATTTTTTGTATGATGTAAACAGAAAAATGATAGTTTTATTGAACAAAAATGTAAGTATAATTATGTAATTTCTGCCACGACTTCTGTACTTTGCGAGTACCGAGGCATGTATATGTAAGAATCCGTGTAAAAAAAAAAACGTGTAAAAAAAGACATTGATCTTATACAAAAATGGGTGATTTGTTCCTAATCTCTAAAACCTATTAAAATTGGTGAAAAACAAGAATTTTTAAGAACAAGAATTAAATTAGTGCAATTCACATTTGCTTTGACCAGTAAAAATTGTTTGTACGCGCTAAAGGGGAATTCACTTAAATCTTTAAGCTAGTGTTTAAGCATCGATACTATCGATGGTTTCAGACTTTTTTCTTTCATAAATACTTTTTTGTGATATGAACATACTTCGCAAAAATTTAATTTGACAAAAAAAATTTAGGTACATAAAATTTCAAATCGTGCTAAATGGAATAAATTCGTGTAAAAAATTTAAAAATATTCAATTTTCAAACCGTGTTATATCAAAACCGTGTACAAAAAGACCGTGTAAAAACAGACTTAGGTGTGTATATATATATATATATATATATATATATATATATATATATTCTATATACATTACACATGAATTCATTTAAATATTTCGAAATGACTTATATTTAACAATAATAATAAATAATTTACTAATTCTATTCATTTACCTTTTTCAGGTGGAATGGTCTTACACCTGGCACGAGATCAAAACACCTGTAACTGTGGTTCCTCGGGGTGTTCTTTTGTCTATGTCTGAACCCAAAAAGAAAGTCCTGGGCATGTTTGGTAATAAAGATTCTGGTAAATTGATTTTAGTCACTCAACAAGAACTAAAGGAGGATCTGGTTCGTAAAATGGAAGCACTCAGGAAAAATGTTTAAAAAACTATTCACGCACAAGTAAGTAACTAAAATAGTAAACATAATCTATACATACATATATATATATATATATATATATATATATATATATATATATATATATATATATATATATATATTATATATACATATATGAGAAAAGTCACTTAGGCACTTATGATTTTTGGATACTAGGGATCAAAATAAGATACTTTGCAAATATTTTCCATTTTAATAACTTCAAAAATTTATAGAAACTCGAATAATATAGAAATTATACCTCTAAAATGAATTCTGATGTTCCGTGCATTGACCCAAAAATAAAGGTTAAATTTTGAAAATTTCCATTTTTAACTTGCCCTTGGTTCATCACCCCCTAAGAGATTTTTTAAAATGTAGCCATTGTCTTTAGGTCAATACACGAGACATTAGAATTCATTTTAGAGGTATGGTTTCTTCAGCAAAGCATCTTATTTTGATCCATAGAATCCGAAAATCATATGTGTATATATATATATATATATATATATATATATGTGTGTGTGTGTGTGTGTGTACGTATGTGGTATGTATAGATCATTTCAAGTATCTTTTTGGAAGAAACCATAATTCAAAAATAAATTTCTATCCAGCGAAATTTCCAATAAAGTTGTTTCTCCATATATTTTAATATCAACTTACCAGAATCTTGTCTTTACTTGCTTGGCAATTTTATGATACATAACTTCAGCGTTTCCAACCTGTGGGTCGCGTACAACTGTTTCCAGAATACTATTATCGAAAATAACCCAACATTTTTCGAACGATATTAAAAAATAAAAAAAAAAGTTAGTTTTTATGCATATTTTTACATAATATTGTTTTTTAATTTGTAATCTGATAATATCAGTTGAGTATTTATAATATTAAACTGTTGAAAAAATTAAGGAGGGGTGCAATAACTTTTTTTGTTAGAGCAAGTGGGCACGATGCAAAAAAGGTTGGAAACCAGTGCTTTACGTGGTTATAGAGTTGATGGTCAGAAAAAATCAATTGAAATATTATAGTCTTATGAGAAGTGGTTTTAAAAAATACTATGTTGGTGGGAACATACAAAACTGTGCGCTTTACTTAATTGTTATCTCTTCCAAGCCAATAATTAAACCACTTTTTATAGGCCTATACAATTTTAAGGTTTTTGTTTGGACTCTTAATCTTAAAAACATTCAAAGTTTCAATAAATTCCCAGATGAGAAAAGATGATTTTCTTGAAGGTTAAATATATGAAGAAAAATTTATACTGAATATTTCGCTGGCTCGATTTTTATTTCTGAGCTACGGTTTCTTCGGAAAAGTTTCTTGAAATGACACATAAAAACAGAGTTGATACTAATACTATTATTTAACTACGATCTTTATCGAAATTTATAGTTGGGCCAGAATTGCATAAAAATGAGTAATTTTGAAGATTGGGCAATGTGGACACATTTTTTTGGTATTACTTTTTTTTAAATCGGTGTAAAAATTGAATTAATACTAAAACATAATTTAAACTTAAAACTTACTTGTTTATTCCTTGATCCATATATTTTTTGGTTCATTACATTTTTTGGTTTTAATTTTGACTTCATAATCTTTTATCCAATTGCATTCCAGTTCCTTAATTTATGATCAGGTCGCATCGCCTATTATATTTGCGTCGTATTTATAGCCTTTATCAAATTCAGGATTTTTGGTCAACATTAACATATTGTTACTATTAAGTAAACAATTAAAATCATATCAAAAATGACATTTATTCGCTTTCAGATTGCAATGAGTTCTGTGCCAAATCGTCAAAGGCATAAAATTTGAATTTTGCGCAGCAACATTTCGTGCGAACAACCAACAGAGCCAAAGATTTGATAAAAGTGTATATTTTTAACTCCAAAATGCAAAATACACAATCTCGAATACCTTTCCAACATTTAATTTGATACTAATTTTTAAAATTACTTTTGGAAACTGTTAGATTTTTCTAAGAATTTAGAAACTTTAAGATTAGATTAAGACTCATACGGCTTGTGCACTTACTTAAATCTCTTTATTGTTGTATTTATTAATGATTATATGTGAATGTGAAATTTTTATAGACATATCTCTTTGCAATAACTACTTACTACGCTGATAAATGTACATTTCTGTTGCATTATTAATACTGGAGTGCCTAGAAATTGTAAAGAAAGTTCATACTTCATTACTTCGCTTTTTCATCTACTATACTACGCTTTCCATAACACCATAAAAAATAATATAAATAATTGAAATAACATAATATATATATACAGAATTTGTGCATAATCCAATCAGTAAATGTAGTAAAAATTCAAAGATATTTTTACATTTCCTATAAAAGATTCTGAGGATTTATTACTATTAGTATTTCCTTCCCTAAGTCAAACCAATAACCAAATCTTCAATGTGTTCAAGCTTATTATTAATTTTATAAGGAATTATATATATTTTTCTATTACTATGAACTTACATATTTTATCTTTAAGATTTTTGAAAAAAGCACAAAAATTTACCTAGTTTATATACAATTTGTGTACCTATTGTTGAAGATATAATATATGCTTTATGTATGTTAAATTACAAGTTATTTGTTACTCTCTGTTAAAGATAAATATTCTACACAAGGCATTTTTGTTAATGTTATATTACTTACTAATAAATTAAATGAATTAAATATTAATTCCATTTTTAGTATACATTATAGTATAGTATAATATTATATTGTTTATATTTCCAGTGGCCACGGTCTAGCGTTTCAAATGCTTTGCCATTATTTTTATGAAACTTTTTATGAATTCTTGGTCTATCTTGCCTTTAAAACGTACTAAAACATAAAAGCCTTACAACAAGTCGTTTAATTTTAAAAATGCGTAAAAAATTGAAGAAATAAGGTACACTTTTTTCACATCAGACAAAATTTAGCTTTAGCCACAGATTTTTAAACAAAGTTTTGGCTGTTTTATTAACTTCTCGACGTTTCAAGCCATTCTGAATCGAATGAGACCAAATTTGGAAGATGTATGTGTGTATGTGACTGGACCGATTTCACAAATTTAAAAGCCATACATCATTGATGTATGTCGATGAGGACTAGCGTTTATCAATTTTGCGCGACGATCAGCCAAACCGTTTCTTTGTAAATAGCAGGAAAGTGAAAAAAAAATTGTCTACGTTTTAGCCCGCAAATCTGAATCGATTTTGAAAATTCAAAAACCGTTCGATAGATCTTGGTTGGGAATCATGCTGATTAGTTTTTGGTAAAGATCGGCCGGGTCTGATAAAGTGTTTTTTTGACGATTTGTATGATTTTTTTTGACGGTAGATATCATAGTATTATAGATCATACTAAAATATTACGGCCTTACGACAAGTCGTTTAATTTTAAAAATTCTTCATAGTTTGCAAAAATTGGTATCATTTTTTTGGCATTTGTCAAAATTAGATCTTTCATTGACGTTTACTCAAAAACGCCTGAACCGGTTTCAGAAATTTAAAAGCCATTTGATGTATCTCGATGAGGACTATCGTTTGTCAGTTTTGAGCGACGATCTGCCAAGCCGTTTCTTTGTTTTTTGGAAAAAAGTGTTAAACTTTTTGTCCACATTTAAGCTTATACTACCGAATTGTCTCCAAAAAATTAAAAACTGTTCGAAAGATATTGGTTGGGAATGATACTGATCAGTTTTAGGTGAAAATCTACCGAGCCGTTTTCTTGTAATTAACTGCCGATTTTTATGGAACTTTTTTGGAGATATATATCGTGGTCTTATATATTATGGTAACTTTTTGAAATATTGCGGCCTTACGACAAAAGTAGTTTAATTTTAAAAATTTATCAAAGTTTGAGAAAATGAATAGTTATTTTGACGTTTGTTAAAATTAAAATTAGACGAGTTACTTGGTATAACTAGGAGTACTTGATCTTAATGAACATACTAAATCATTAAAGTCTTACGGAAACTGGTTCAATTATAAAAATTATGGTTTTTTGTAAATTTGCTTTTAGAAAATACTCCGAATTAACGTGTTCGTTCGTTTTCAATAATGTGTAATAAATGCACTCGGAATACTTTTAATAAATCATAAATTAATTTATTTTTTATTGATTAAGTCGATTATTTACACATATCGGGAAGTTCATGTAACTTGCTTCAAGGCAAAAAAAACTAATACCATCTAGTTTTTATCAAATATTCAAAGATATTTAAAGATTTTTAAACTGATTACAAAGTTATTATTCATGACTACTTGCGAAGAAGTTTGTAACATGTTTTATCAATCTTTCACCAACTTGTTTTGTTACTCATAAACATGTGCTAGATAACCAGGAATCTAATATCTTTGCCAATTTATTGAAATTTACCGTGTATTCAGTACCATATATCAAGTAAAATTATTGTCTGGCGTTCGATGTGCATCGTCATTGTCATTGCAAATGTGCATATTAAATGGATTGTTCCTTATTTAAAGTTTAAAATAGAACTTGTTGATAATGTTCTGATCTTACGAGAATTGCGGAATGGCACACGGAATACAAAATACAAATGCACTAAATGTGCACATGTGTAATGCATCAGACATCTATACATGCTGACGACGATTTTATGTGCATTTTTATCTTGAGAACGACCCAACAGTTTCATAAACATCCATCGAAACGATGCAAGTAGACAGGATATTAAAACTGTTTTTTTTGTATTTTGGATATAGGATTAGAGATACTCATTAGATGAAACATATGGTAATTAAATTAATTACACTAAAAGAAAATATTAAGCCTAACACTAATATTAAGTAATGCAATAATAACTTGAAGAGAAATTACTTGTGATAATGTGATAGTTTGTTTAAGGCGTGATAATAGTTAGATATCTGTTGCTTAATTTTTTAAAGTCCCGAATTTGGAAAATAATACTAAGATCAGAATCAAGACAAAATGAAGTGTGAAAATAATTATAATAAAAACATTCAGTTCAGAAATCTCCTACTCCTACAAAGAGAACTCAGTGAGAAATCTCCTACTCCTACAAAGATTTAAAAAAAATGGGCATATGATTTTAAGAAATTATCAAAAAATGAAAAAAGGAGATATCTCATTGAAGATAACTCTTTAAATGCTTAAAGACCAGCATATTGTCTGAAAAAATAATGGATAATTTTGATCAGCAATAAATATATGCAAAACAATCTAGCGGTGCATGGCATCGTGCCTTAAGGCAAATTGCTGGAACTTCCCGTACCGAAAACTAAATTATTAAAAATAACTTTGCAAAACTTTGAAAAAGTTAGATTTTTGAAAAAATTTGACTTTCTTGAATCTTTTTTTATCTAGCGGTGCATGGCATCGTGCCTTAAGGCAAATTGCTGGAACTTCCCGTACCGAAAACTAAATTATTAAAAATAACTTTGCAAAACTTTGAAAAAGTTAGATTTTTGAAAAAATTTGACTTTCTTGAATTTTTTTTATCTTGATTTTTTTTTTAAAATCTTGAACATTTTTATAAGCGATCGCGCTGTATACTTGATTTGGAGTCAAAATATCAAAGCGCGTAAGCGCTGCGTAGTCGTCTTACATGTAAACAGTGGTACGGAACCCATATAAATGTACACAAAATTTGTACTTATTATTATAATCTTTATAAAATATCTGATAATAGGATGTCCATATGTCTATTTTATATTTCCTTAATCATTTTATATATATTTTTTTCCTTTTTTTATTGGATCTCCGGAGACGCTGGACCTTCCTTTACAAAAATTTTACCATTTTGTTCATACAAGTAAAATGTTTTTTGAATTACTTAAATCGGACGCTCCGTTCTCTTAAAAACCGTGTTACCGTTCTTGGCACATTTTGCTCCGTATCTTCGGAACGGCTAGACCTGCCAAAAAATAATCTCCTTATCAGTACGAATCGAATGTTTTTTGAATTATTTAAATCGGTTGATCGGTGTTCCCGAAATCGTCGACGAAAATTTGTATCCGCACACACACACACGCACACACACACATACACACACATACATTCATTTTTTTAAGGTATGCCAAAATATTCAGAAACCTTTGAAACGTAAAGATTTATTAAAATTTTCATTTTCGATGTTTTTGCGATTACTATAACTTACCCTACGGGAAGTTAAAAAATAAAACTAGTGGTGCATGGCATTGTGCTTTAAGGCAAATTGCTGGAACTTCCCATACCGAAAACTAAAAAATAATGGCCAAACTTTGACCTACCCTATGTTCAACGTTGCACTCATTTCAAAAATTTAAAAGCCATTTTTTGAAACTTGATAAGGGCTTCATACTATTAACTGAATATATATATATATATATATATATATATATATATATTAATTTAATTACACCAAAAACTTATACCTCAATATCTTTTTAAATCATGACCTAATAGCGTCTACGTTAAAAATAGATCTAAAACATATGAATTGTGCAACTAATAATAAAATATGTGATCACAATTTTTAATTAACTATATATATATATATATATATATATATATATATCGATTTTAATATGTTTGGGTATGTGAATATTCCGAAGCATGTGGCGCAATATCAAAGATTTGTAACTGTTTGCATAATCTGTTCAAATATACAAACTATTTATTTGAAAAGTGATAAATGGGCGTCCACACAATATGTTTTTTGTCACTTAAAATTTGTATTAGTTGAGCAAAAATTGATTTTTCTCTCAAACATTCATCGAATAATAATTCATATTTCTTATGCAATTTTTCCATTGCTGAGAATATAAGAATAAATTTAAATAATCATTTCTGGTGGTATTACGCAGTTAACAAATAACTTAATTTTTCATAAGTAAGGAATTATTCTTACTGTTTTATGAACTATTGTATATAATTTCTAAAACCTAGCATTATGAAAAGGCGATCCAGTGGTTGTCCACAAGATTCTAGTAAGGTTCTTATTAGATTTAAAAAAAATTCAAAACTGTTGGGATATTTTACTGCAAAGGCATAAAACAGGACTTCTCAAACTTCTGAGATTCGCAACCCCATTTATGATAGCAAATTTTTTTGATGACCCCATTTATGATAGCGAGTTTGTTTTTGA